TTTTTTTTTTCCTCAATGAAGTGGTCAAAAGGGGTGGGGTGGGGGAAGGAAACAGGAGCAAAAATCACCAGAAGGTGTTTGCTGTGTTCCAGAACTTAAGTTTTTCTTGGCCAAACTACAGTGTTTGGGTGCATCAGGCATTCACTTCAAAAGACGAGGGACCCACGGTATTCTGCAGAATGGAGAGGTCGCTTTCTCTAGGCAGGAGGGAAGGAGAAATAATGCACGCAGCACTAGAAACAAAAAAAAGCAGGTTAAGATAGGAAAGCAAAAATTATATACTGAGAGAGGAAGGGAGGAGGCACAGAGAAAGGAAGAAACAGGCGCAAATGGAAAGCTGACCCTGAGAAAGAAAGGGAGGGTGCAGGAAGGGAGGGGAGGGGACGCCACCCGGGAGGGGGGGAAAGCAGGAAGAAGCAGAGCAGGGTTGTTGGTCCTTCAAGTTGGCGCTCAGTGGAAGGATTTTGCATGAATTAAGGGAAACAGCTACATAAAAGGAATGATTCAGGGCTGTCAAATTTAGGCTCCTGATGGCTGCCAATCATCCAAGAAGAATAATTTCAAAAAGTTCACAGCTAATATTTTTTTTATTAATATTTTTTATTTTTTATTTCTGGACTAATTCAGATAAAATGGATTTTAAAAAAAAAAAAGGACCGGGCACCTGCAGCTGCACTTATCTGAACTTCTCTCCTAAACCCGTTGCCAACTCGATTGAATGGGTGCTGTGGATGTGATTAATGTAACACTGCCATTTCCTCGCAGTGTTTTTGGTAGGTTTTAATAAACAGACTTTTCAAAAAGACGGCAATAGAGAAATGTTTAGATCCGTTGTTGATCTAAAAAAAAAATTTGCTTTATATTTTCATTAAATGACTTCTTTTAATATTTTATTCAGAATACCTATGAACTGTTGCAAAACGGTAATTTATTTTTTCCCCAGATCTTGTATTACGTGTTTTTTTCAGACGAGCACAAATTTAAAAAAAAAATAAATGAAAAAAAAATACGGACAGCTATTAGGTAATAAGGGTATCTTTTGATGTGATAATTTGATTGTAATTTAATTTGAGTAGTGATTCCGTAAGAGCTGATTGAGAAAATAAATTTGTTAGAATGAAATAGTCTTTGTCTGATGCATAAAAAAACCCTTTGTGTCTGTTAAGTTTTCGTAAGAACTGAACCTCCTAAATGACAGAATCAAAGCGAGAACCGACTTGCTTCTCGTAGCCTGTTTGTAGCATTTTTAAAGACAGGGGAGGGGAACACCCACCCACCCACCCTTACTGGTCAGGGTAGCCTTTTAGAAGAAGGTCTGCTCGGTATGAATCTATATGTAGTTCCATAGCCATTTTAAATCAGTGCATTGAAGCTGTGAAATGGGATGGCCAACAAGACTGCAGAACAGGAAGGCCTTTGTTTAAGTCCTTATTTGATGCAAGTTTGGCGCAATAGATCTTCTGTACCAGGTGCTAAGCGGTCATCTCTACAATGATTTAGCTTCTTTCTTTCTCTCCAACGTGCAACCCGCGGTGTTCGGTTACTAAAGGATCAATCCTAAAGAGAAGTGAGCAAGTCCCATTTTATTCAATAAGGCTTATTCCTAGGAAAGTGTTCTTAGGATTCCACTGTATATTACTTTGATAGATTTTATCCGTGTGTGACATTAATTTATCTGTATAATTTGAGACAGGAAGTGTGTGTGTGTCCACAGAAAGAAAAGAAAGCACCCAAGGGGTTCTACTGGGTTGCAGTCCTTGGGTTGTTTCGGAATTATCTTCTGCGGGTTGTAAAGAGGGTGCAGGCCTTGAGAGTTTCGTTTTTCGCTCCGCAGTAGCCATACCTTTTATAACAAACGTGAGGGCTCATAGTCTCAGTAGATACGCTAAAGGTAGGCTACCATTGAGGAGTCGGATTGTTCCAGTGGTGGAAATGTACACAAGGAAAGAGAAGCCAGGGAAGATTTTCAAAGGCTTTAAATCCACATAGGGAACGGTGTGATACCCAGATAGCTAGTTTCCCAAACGCCTCCCCCCCCCCCAAGATATAGGAATATTTTTTTTCCTTGTGATGAACCTAAGGTTTCAGTGGGATGTTAGCCCTTCGTTGTGTGCCTTGTGGCGATAGCGAGGGTTTGGAACCAAGAATAACATCCATTCTTTCCCAGTACATCTGGCGTTAGTCTTAAATCAACGCCACCCAGAGAGCCGCGCGTCCTGAGAATGCATTGTTTTCCCTTCAAAACCTACTAAAACTCTGCTGTCGTAGTCGATTGGCAGCGTCCAAAGAGCGATGGGAGAGGGCTTTGAGGAGGAAAGCTAACAATTTCAGTTGTTTTAGATGGCCCCGGTTTTTTTGGGGGGGAGGATGTTAAAATATCTTTCCACACACACACACACACCCCATCATTTTTCTCGCACACAAGAGAAATAAGAGAATAGATTTGACAGTGGAGGCCATGAAGTTGTTTTTGCCCTGCATTAAGCACGTGAGATGGAATCCTATTTTTTCCCTCTAGAGGAAAGGGGGTGGGTGGGGTGGGGTAGGGGGTGGCTTTATCATAAATGGAAGTCTGTGTCTTAGGGGCTGTTATTTGGCTGCGGGATTTGGATGGCAACAGAAAGGCTTCACACTGTTTCCTTTGAAGGTGGCACTGGCAACCTCTTGCGTTTTTGTCCGCTCGGTGGTTCTTTAGGCCAGCCGTTTCTGAATGCAGATATTTACAAAATGCGCACGTCGCCCTGTCATTATGATACCCAAAGGTGATTTCCTCCTCCCCTCCCCCTCCCCAAACCGAATCATCTGAATGTACGTAGGAAACTCCATGAAACACGAAGAGACCGCGGGTAAATAAGAAGGCTGAGTTAAGGATCATATTGCTATAACATGTAAATAATGAGAATAACGGTATATTGCACACCACCAACTCCCTTAATGAACATGGGCATTTTATTTCCTTATAATTCTAGCGGTTGATAATTTGACCATAGCTTCCCACGTTCTTTCCTGCCTGAAAGAAAGGAAAAGCCAAAATGTTTTACAAAGTTTGTATATAAGAAGAATGAGTAATTCCAAGACATGATAGTTTGAATTTTCTTTTACTGCAGCCACTCACTACAACTTCCCCCCCTCCGAATTGCCCGGTTGATTTCTCATCCTCACCTTACCCAAATGTCTATCCAATAAATAATTCCCGAGGGTATTTAAACTAGTCACCTCGCCACTGTTGATTTGCCGTTCCCTCCCTCAACGGGTTTTACCGACCACTTCTCAGCTTTAATATATAACATCCCCCTTTCTGTCTTTCTCTGTAAGAGGTATTCTTATGCTTTAATGTAACCAGCGGCGTTTGCATTGTATAGGGTTAGAAACTTGTTTTTCTACCAGCGGTTTTCAGGGGAACTTTTAGGGAACAATCGGTTCTAATACGAAATGCAGTCTATGCTATTGATAGACTGATCAGGAAGTTTAATATTTTTTCCATAATTTTAAGAATTACGTTTGTGGGGTTTTTTTTAAAAAAAATCTGTGTGTGTAAAATATTGATCCTTTCTAAAGCAACAATATATTGTTGTATTTATTCCTTTATTTTTGTAATAAATGTCAACATCTTCGAGCTAATGACAAAATAATGCTTCTATATCTTTGTGTCTTAACGTATTATCTGTCCATCTACAGACAGATAGATATAGATATATACACAGATATAATCTGTTAAAACGTAGCTAAATTTGCATATAAGTTCTGGAAGAATAGATCTTTGGCAGATTTTAGCGATAAAGCGCGAGCTCCTTGCGTCCACTTGACGCTTAGTTTCCATGGAGTTCCGGGGCGATTAATCAAACTCTAACCCGGATGTAACAAGTCTTGGCCCTGGCTCCAGGCTTGGAACTGATTGTTTAGGATACGAGATGGACCACATTTCATACGTGCCAGCCTCTGGCTGTGTCGGGGGAAATTGGTGTACGGTAGCGAGATGGAAGGCTAAAAAGGGACTTGGGGGGGGGGCGAATGTTAGGGGGGGGGGAAATTACACAAATATTTGCTTTTGCTGTTGGGAATGTGTCGATGGGCACCAGTTTCCGACAGCAAGAGGAAGATCTCGGTGGTGGTGGCGGTGGTGGTGGTGGCGGCGGCGCTAATGTCCCAGCTGCAGCGAGATCTGGCGATGACTGACAGGCAGTCTCCAGCCAGCCCCCCTCGGAAAGCTTGACCTAGCGTGGCATCCACTCCCTTCTTCCTCGCCTGCCAGTTTAACAAGCGCTGGGCGGGAGGGAGGGGGGCGGGGGACCTCCAAGGGCACTCCATCCACCGCTTGCCAAAGTCTTCTGGCTTCTGG